CCAGCAGGTGGAGATGTTGAGCTGCCTTTGTGAATGTCAGCCGGACCCTCCTTCACAAATACAGTGGTTCCAACTTTAGTGGGGTTGAGAGCAACCTGGAGAATGCATTTAAAATGTAGCTTCCCAGTGCCCACCTGCGGAGTTGTTTCTGTGGGCCTTGCATAAGGCCAAGGAGACTGGATTATTTATTTATTTGACTGTGCCGGGCCTCTGTTACAGCAATATTCCTTGAGGCATGTGAGATCCTTAGCTGGGGCATGTGAGTTCTCAGTTGTGACATATGAGAACTAGTTCCCTGATTAGGGATTGAACCTGGGCCTACTGCATTAGGAGCACAGAGTCTTAGCCACCAGACCACCAGGGAAGTCCCTGGGCGTCTGGATTTTAACATACCCACTAACCTGTAATCCTGAGGCAGGCTGGTGCATGCTCCACACCTTGAGAAACTCTGATGTAAATGGCAATTGTACCCTGGCGGGAATATATGGAAATGTAAGAGAAAGGGTATAAGTCGAGAAGGGAGCAGAGTGAAGGCGAGTTCTGGAGAGGCCCACCATGTAACTTCCCACTAGTGTCAGGGGAGGCAGAGGTAGCAAAGTTACTGAGAAGTGGCCAGATGGGCAAGAGGATAACCAGAGAATATGTACTTATGGAAGCCAAAGGAACACAGGAAGAGGGCAAAGAAAAGCAAAAGGCAGTTTGTGGTGATGAATGCTGCTGCAAATCAAAAGAGATGAGGACCAAATCCACTCGATTTAGCCACACAGAGGTCACTGGCAGCTTTCAGGTGAATGCCATTTGAAGAGTTGTGGGAGTTCATGTTGTGCTGGCTTACAGTAGGTCACAGAGCACATGGGAGGGGAGGAAATTGAGGCAACAAGCATACACAAGTCTTGATAGACCTTTGACTGCTAAGAGAAGGAGAGTGGGGGTGGGGTGGTTTGATTGAAAATAGAGCCAAGAGGTTCTCCTTTGAGTTGAAGGAGATTTGAATACGTGCAAAGGTTAGTGGGAGTGGTGGGAAAAAGAAAGAGAGGCTCGAGATAGAGGATGGAGAGACAACGTGAATAAAAGAGTGGATACTGCAAGGTTCCTGGAAGACAGGAGGCCATGTGCCCTAGAACAGAGGGGTGAGGCCCTCTCTCCTCAGACAGGGGGACAGTTTGNCATGTGCCCTAGAACAGAGGGGTGAGGCCCTCTCTCCTCAGACAGGGGGACAGTTTGGGACAGGTGCAGGTGGCCTGTAGGTTTGAGGGCAATAGGTGCTGGGGTTTCCATCTGAACCATTTTTTCTCAGAAAAATAGGGAGAGAGTGAGTTGCTGAGCATGGCAGGGGAGTTGTGAGTGTAAGGAACAGGATTAAAGCTGGAGCAGAGTGGAAAATGTTGAAAATGGCAAGTGGAGAAAGTGGGTTGACCAGATGCAAATGGGATAAGTGGGGAGGGACTTGTGGGCCTGGTTGAGGCTGTCAGTCATCAATCCAAGGTGCTAATTCTTGGCCATCTTAGGTAATTTTCTCCACCATGGCAGGGGCCAGCAAAAGTAAAGAGAGTCAGGTTTTCAGAAAAATTGGATTTCACCCGACAAAGGCAGGGGCATCCCAGGAGGTTATAGGGAAGGAACTGACTGAGATGCTGGACCTTCACTCATGAGACGCTAGGAGGATTTGTGGACATAGGAAAGAAAAAGGGCCAGTGGAGTGGGTGTTCTGATGAGGCTGGTAAATGGATGCGGTGGTGGAACTGGAAGGATAGGAGGCAGTAGTTCAAGTGCACGATATAATAAGGGCAGATTTTTAAGACAGAGCAACTTTGGGTGAGGCCCTTGAAGTTGATGTAGTGTAAACAGAGTGCAGGAGCAGGTCATTTTAGATGAGGACACTTAAAGAACCAAGATGCCAGAGAATACGCACTGAAATTGGGGTGAGAACAAGTTCCAAAGTGCTGAGTGAGTGAACACACACACACACACACACACACACACACACACAGGTGACTGAGAGTCAGACAGATGGGAAGGCTGCTTCAGAGGTCTTCTTTGAAGATTAACTTTGCAAATTACGATTTTGGAACTTTTAAATCCAATTGTTATATTGGACACTTGTTAAAATATCAGTTAACTGTGTATCATCTTGTCTCTTGTTAGGACCTTTCAACATCATCCGGATGTTAGTTCTCCCTGAGATAACTTACAGATTTAATGCAATCCCATACAAATTCCAGCAAGTTCTTCCCTCTCCTCCCAGAGATATCAAAATGATAGAATAGGAAAAAAGCAAGAAAACTACAAAAACAACCAAAGGGAAGAGCTTTACGTGAGAACAAGCTAACCACATATTACAGGATAGCCCAAAGTCTCTATAACTAAAACAGTGTGGTCTTGGACCACAAATAGACATAATAACCAATGGAATGTAATGGGAAGCACAGACTAGACCAAATAACACACAGAAAGCTATGGTATGATAAAGGTGGAATTTGAATCAGTGTGTGCAAAGATGTACATTTTTCTAAATGATATGATTGTGAGGAAAGTATACACTATTCAATTAGTGAATATGTCAAATCTGAATGTCCACATGAAGGGAAATAAAGCAATTGGAGCTCTATATGATGTCAGCAAAAAACACCAGTTTCCCCAGGAACACCTATTCAAAAATGAAAAATAAACCTTAAAAGCATAAAAAAAAAAAATAAGGAGAAAGATGTTACAACCCCAGAGTAAAGATAAAGCTCTTTTAACAGGCACAGGAAAGCACACATATAAAGACTAATATCCCAACATACCTGTGACTTCTATGAATTTATAACAGAAACCTTCTACCAAAGGGAAAATTGAAAAATCTCCCGCAGTGACACTTGTCACAGAGAAAAAATTGAAATGGTCATTCAGCATAAAAATAAAGTTCAACCATATGAGTGACTGGAGACATGCAAAAGAATAATTTTCCCCAATGCAATTTTACACCCACTAGAGTGCCAACAGGCAAGAATCCCTATTCCACCACGTATTTGGTGAGGATACGGAACAATGGGACTCAACCCGCTGGTGGAGGAAGAAGTTGGACACAGTTTCCCTGCACTCAGTGAGCCTATGACCTAGCCATCCCACTCCTTTAAACACTGAAATACGTATTGCACATGGGCGAGACATCAGAACACTGCTTGCATTGGTGCTCTGAAGGGCTCTCAGGTGGAAAGCATGCAGATGTCCAGGGACAAGAAGAAAAATGGAGGGACAAAGGGAGGCGTGGCTCCACAAGGGTACATGACAGAGCAGGGAAAGAGAAAGCCCAGTGGAGACAGGTCACACTGTAGATACTGGTTGATACTACCGCAATGTCGAGTGATGCAAAGAGGAAGTGGCGGAAGACCACAGAGAACCTGATACAATTGATGGTGATTTGCAGACAAGTGTAAGCAAGACTATTTAAAGATGAGATAACAGTGTCTTAAAAAAAAAAAAAAAAAGGAAAATCCAAACGGAAAATGGGGGGTGATGGTTTGTATAAGACACCCTGCAGTATGGCTCTTCATCTGCAAGCAGAAGGGAGTGAGTGGAATGGAAACCAGGAGGAGAGTGGCGAGGAGTTGGTAAATGCTCCTTCATCAGGCGGGCAGAGGCTGGAGCACCTGTTCCTCACTCCCCTGGCCTTCTGTGATTTCCCAGGAAAACGGCCCGCAAGGGCAGTGTCCTCGGCAGGCAGAACCTGGAGAGCCGCAGCGTGGGTCCCCAGCCTGAGCACGCCCCCTCAGCCCCGGAGAGCTGTTCTGTAAGGGGCTGGGTGAGGCCCAGGCCCCGCCTCCCGCATGCGCACTGTGCCAGCCAATTGGCGCTGTTCCCTCTCAGGAGAGGCCAGTTGCTTCTGGGCTGTCCCGAGGTCCTGAGAGGAGCATCGCGTATGCGGTATGAGGTTCGCAGTTTGGAGATTGTGGTGAGGAGCTCACCCTGTGTGGATGAAGGATGGAGGGAGGGAGGGACAGGCAGAGGGATCCAAGAGGGGGACAGAGGGACCCTCAGGGAGGCCGGCGGCACCACATGACCGTGAGCAGGGCTGGAGGAGGGGCGGCGCCATCTTCTCAGACTTGAAGGAACCAGAGTGTGGGGCTGTGGCAGCCAGGCTGGCCTCTGAGGCGATGTCCCAAGGCTTCCCCTCGGCCTCCAGCCGGGCAGAAAGAGGACCCCGAGGGCTGGGCCAACAGGCGGGGTTTGGGGAGAGCTGTCGGTTCCCACAACCCAGGAGAGTCTCAGAAGGTGGGCAAGCATCATCCACCCAGATCTGCCCTTCCTGCCCGGAAGGATGGGCCAGTGCCCTGAGGTCATCGTGGTGTCCAGATGGCGTGTCAGGAAGGCCCCCAACCCTACTGTGCCTGGACAGGTGCTGAATGGTTTATTCCCCACCCCTATGGAGGTACACTCAGGTTTGTCCTGCCTGTGATTGGGCCTCCCTGCCCAACACCTGATCCTTTGGGATGCAAGGCACAGGGGTCAGCCTCTGTCCCCACGTTGGGATCCTGACACTCTGTCCTCAGAGGGTCTTGACACTCAGATGTCCATGGGCAGCACGGGGCTGTGAGGGGCGTTGCAGGAGCCAGTCCTCCATCACAGTGCTGGGGAGAGGGGGTCATGGTCACTGCGTGCTTCATCAGCTCCTGGTCCAACAAGAGACAGGAGAATACACACACTGATCTGCCATGGAGGACCCATGCCGGCCATCGCCCGTTGACCTTGTGCCAATCTGTGTCTTTACATTTGTGCTCCCAGGGTGCAGGCGTGCTGTCTGTACCTTGGAAGACGGGAGTAGATGGAGAGGCCTTGGAGGAAGCGTCTCAGGAGGGCTAAGGATGCCTCGAAGGAGACTCAGGATGCCCCGATGGAGGCTCAGGATATGGCAGCCTGTGACTCTGGGAGTCAAGAGAGAAGAGAGCTGAGTGAGCCAGAGAGTGTTTGCCAAGGTATGGTCTGTTTCTAGGTAAAGTCAGCTTGGCTCATGTAACAAGTATTGTCTGTGAAATCCTTGAGTGGGGGATTTCTTTCATAACAAGTATGGTCTTTTAGGTTGTATTTATTGAATAATATTTGATGTAACTTCTTCACAGGAGTGAAATACAGAAAATGCTGGAAGAATTTAGAGGTATGTTTGAGTGATATTTATAATTAATGAAAATTGTTTTAAACCATGTAGCTTTTATAGATTTAGATGTTAAATTGGTGGATTATAAGACTTCTTCTTAGATGCAAGATTTTATGCAAGTATTCAGTGTGTTTTGACTTTTAGGTTTTGTAGGTTTTTGCAAAGTGAAAATGGTACTAACATTGTTGATGAACCAAGAATGATGCTTTAATTTGTGCATGTGTACCCTGAATGGACCGTGTAAGGAAATGGATGAGATAGTTTGTACCACCTTTGGCGTGCACAACTAAAATGATGTATCAGTGTTTCAGGTCAATTTTAAATAGTCTTAATTTAATTACTTCTCATGACTTTCTTATGTTCTTTTCTTTGGTTAGCAGCAGAAATTGAATCCTTTTTCGTTATTTAAACATTTATAATCTGTGTCAGAGAAAACTAGAGACAATTCTCCTAGCTAGTGAGAGATGTATAATCAGGTCCCCAAACTTGGAAGAATTTTACTGTTCTTTCAGATACTAGTTACCATATCTGTGTTAGAGGACAGTACACTTAGGAAAGCATCTGGAGCAATTTGTGACCCTTTGATAGAGATCACCCTCACAGGCAAATATGCTCTGAATACTTTGGTCTGCTTCGTTGGGACAAGGTGCTGCTTTTGTGAGCTGCCTGGTGAACCGTTTATTATGTATAGATTCTGGATGTATAAATTATTTTTATTATATTGCAGATCCTTCATGATTACTGAAAGATAACTATTTATTGTTGGCCAATAAAATCTAACCATGTGATTTGCAAAGCTTATCTTAAAGGAATAAATCTTTGTGAAATGCAGCACTTACGGATAAAAACATTATGTACAAAGCTCTGGGAAAAATATTTTTTAAATGTTCCTGAACTGCTTAGTTGAAAACTGGGTTTTTATACCCCTGGTCTTTGTCTCCTTTAGTGAAATACAGTCAAAAGCATCACTCACTAGACTGCTTGAAAAATCAGTTTTGTGCAATATAATGATTTTTATCCTTTTGAAGGATACTTTCATGAAGGATTCTTTTCTGCGATTTTTGCAACACATCCTGATGGTAATCCATCTAAACATGTCCCTTGAACTACAGGATATTTTACACAGTTAGAAAGAGTTGCCTTTTCACTGTTTTCTGATGAGGAATGAATGGAAAGTTTTCTCTTGAGATTCTTTATACACGTTTTGAAACTTGGAAAATGCTTTGATTGTTATCACTTTTCCAGTATCTCTAAATCTAAAGGTGGTCTGTGGTTAGAAAAATTAGAGTCGTGATACTAGTACTGGAAAGGTTTTCCAGAGAAAAGTGAGCAAATCTTGCGTTTTGAAATGGTGTCTGTATATTATAAATCTTAAGTGTCTTTGCATATTGCTGAGGCAGCATTTGCCCATATTGATTTGAATGTATCAGAACAAGATAATTTTACACATTTGACTTTAATGAGTAAATATTTTTTTATATAGTTGACATGAAACAGGCTCTTCTTGCAAAGAGAAAAAAGTTTGAGATGAACACAAGAGCTACTATCAAAATCACTAATGAAAAACTTGATAGTGTTTGGAAAACACACCAAGAACAAAGGAAAAAGTGCTTTAAGTTTTTGTGCCACAATGACATTTTGTATAATTTCTTAGTATCTGATGGTACATATAACCTAAGACAAACACTATTACATTTTCCAGTGCAAAACATATTTTGCTTGATTTTTTTTTTTCCTAACCAGGTAAAGCCATTAGTTTTGTAATCCTACTCCTTAAGAGAATTGAGATATATTTCCTAGAAGACAATAAAGATGACCTTTTTCCTTCCCCTTTCAAAGAACAATTGAGTTTTCATTCTATGTAATTAAATTATATTCATTCTAGACCTATCCTAGCTGAACATAAGGCTGATGTCTTAAACCATTATTCTTGTGACAGTTAACTATATTCAGTTATGCAGAAAAGGTTAATCTTATATTGTGAAAAATTTGTACCATTTAACTGAGTTGTGTTTACTGTTCTTTTTTTCAAAATTCATGGTTGTGCCAAAGAGGGGAAATAGTTAAGTGAAATATTCCTGTTTGGTAATCTTCTCTGATAAATAGATAGTATAAGCTGACTGAATCTACTTATCATATTAGGACATATAGGATATTCAGTAAGAAGAAATGAAAAGTAAACTGCTTTTACTAATAGATAAAATGAATGTTTCTGGGAAATTCATAGTACAATAAATTGTCACTAGATTTCAAGAAGTGGAGAGCATGTGCGATAGTGTTTGTATTTATTCAGTCAGGAGCAGTACTTTTGGAACTGAAGAGTAAGTTATCCACTTAACCTCTCTGTTTCCTGTGAGAATATTTCAGCTGCTATTGTGCTATTACTGCTTTCTTCTTTTATAGTGTAAATTGTGTCAAATCAATTTTGTTTTAAATACAGTTGATATTTGTTTGTATCTTTGTGGAGTTTGACATTACTCTTTCTTATGTTTTACAGGCAGAATCTTTATCTCGAATATGCTCAGCAGTTTCAGACTTTGTTTCGGGAGTGGGATTTAGACATGAAGAAAGCCCAGGAACAAGAAGAAAAAGGCCTGTTAGTATCAGCTGTTAGTATCAGCCTTAGCTTTAAAATCAGCTTATTGTATCAAAGTTTCAATTAGCAATTGCTCAGGCAATGATGCAGGAGAGAAGGTAGAGCCCCTGAATTCAGATGGGTGAAGGTGGGTGGGGGATGTAGTGAAGAGAGAATGAGTGTTCTCTTGGGAGTGCCTCTGTTTATTTAGTGAAGTAGTAAAGTCACCGTTTAGGAGTAAGGATGGTGGATAAGTTGTTGCCTTGGGGGACAGAGAAGAAGCCTTGGAATGTTTCCTGAGAGGACCAGGGAGATCCCATTGCCAAGCAGCAATTATGGGTGCAACTTAAGTTGCTGTCCTAGTGATCATGAATTTAAAGTGAGGCCACTCCACATGGCTGATGCAGAGCAGCTGGAGAGGCGGATTTCCCAGGATTGGGGTTTAGTCATGAAGACTGACAAAGAAGGGGCCAAGGTACATGCACAAGGGCATAGGTGTAATGATCAATGGTGGGATTTAAGCTGAGAAGGAGGAAAGAGGAAGTCAAGAGAGTGGGGGTTGGGGACAATGAACAGTCCTAGCATCAGCGGATGTTAATCCTGATGTAGTGTTGACCTGTATGTAGCAAGAAAGGGAATGAAGTGCAAAACAGGGAGGTAGTGGTTGAATGCTAGGGGAAATGAAAAAGTATATGTAGTACAGTGGTCTAGGGCCCAGACTCTGGAACGGTAAATGTTTGGGGTCCAATCCTGGTTGACCAGTGATAGCTGTGAAACCAAGGACAGATTGTTTATCTGTGTGTCTCAGTTTCCTCATCTATGAAAGGAAACACAGTGAGAGTACGTACTCATAGAGACTTTTTGAGGAATAAAAAATTGAGATCATGTAGAAGTCATATAAAGTCATTGGAACCATACCTGACCCGTAGTTGCTGTATAAGTCTTTGCTCTAATTAATATCATGTAGCCAGGGCAGTTCTTGGGAATGACTGAATCCCGTGACTATGGGGTATGACTATATAAGTGAGTGGCTAATGTAAAGAAGAGGGTAAGTTTATTGTTGGAGTTTAGGTCAAAGAACAGAAAGGCCAGCTATTGGAAGGATCATCTATGTGCATATTGAAGGGGCCAAGAATTAATATATATTTTGAGTATTGTTAAGAAAGAATAGTTCCTCAGCAATTACTGTTAGGAAGGATTACTTTGTAGATTTTGCCTACCCGTGGTAAACACATTATTGGAAGGGTCATTTGTGGATTTTGACATCAAGAATGACATGTTTTGAAGATTGTTAAGAAAGAATATCTCCTACTCAGTGACTGATAGGGTAGGATTATTACATGGTTTCTGTCTTGTAGTCGTGAACACAGTTACTTCAACTTGGTCATCAAAGTTGTCAAAACAGGAAATGTTAACAAGCATTGAGTTAGAGTTCCTTTAAAGCTTAATGTATAAACCTGCTTTCCAAATATTAAACGTTGCCAACATTTTACTTTTTTCTTTTATATTTGTAGCGTATGTTTCGAGAGCAACGAAATGTTCTTCAACAAGCTAGACTTCTTCAGAACCAGAGGCTGAAAAAAATTAAAAATTCATACGAGCAATTCCTGAAGGTCTGTTGTATTTGGTAACACAGTACAGTCTCATAAAAACAATATGCATATAAAAGTAGAAGATAGTCTGTGTCCATCCAAACTTATGGGGGGGAAAAAAAACACTGTAGGTTGTGCCTGCCTTTAACTTGTTAAACATTCTCCATTTTGAATTCATTGGTCTGAATACAGCCTAATTGGTAAATGTGTTTTTAGTTTTAGAATTCCTTTATACGTTTGTGAAAGTGAAAGTGTTAGTCACTCAGTCATGTCTGACTCTTTGCAATCCTGTGGACTGTAGCCTCTGTCCAAGGACTTCTCCAGGCAAGAATACTGGAGTTGGTTGCCACTCCCTTCTCCAGGGGATCTTCCTGACCCAGGGATCGAGCCCAGGTCTCCCACATTGCAGGCAGATTCTTTACCNCTCGTCAGGAAAATGGGTAAAAGGTCGCTACAGCAATTTCCTTGAGGGAGGTGAGAAAGGTCAACCTGCACTTTAATAAATCAGGGGTGGCGGGACAGAGAGGGACCTCCCGATCTCTCTCAGGGCCAAGAAGGAGCCTGAGCAGTCAGGCTGGCTCCCCGCACTGAGCCATCAGGGAAGCCTTATAGTTTTGTGGGAATCATTTAAAATGGGGAACTGCAAACTGGGAATTTAATCTAGATGTATATACATGGTGAAGAAAACTGATACTTGATTAAACTTTTTATCATAACTATTTTGTTCAGCAATGAGTATTTAGGAGACCAGCCAAGGACAAATATATACTGAAAATTTAGGAATTTAATAAATCATCTCTAGGTGTCTTTTTCCTTTCTACTATTAACTGTTGCTGCTGCATATAAAGTCAGGCAGTTGTAATTAGTGAACACCTTTTTTGTTTTCAAATGCATTTGAAATGCTCATTCAAATGAGCATTTATGGTGTATTTGCTTTTAGAATATGAGTAAATAATAGTGAGTTTATATGCAAATTTATAATCACATGAGAAAGTCAAAGTGTATAACTGAATGAAAAACCTAGAAGAGGACTACATGTTTGTGGATTGAGAGTGATTTGCTGTGATATTTGCACATTAGCAAACTGTCCTCAGTGCCTGTTGTCCCTTTCTTCATATATATATATGTGCATACTTACTCAGGAGTTGATGGGACCCTGCACATTCCCCTTCTTTTTCCTTGGAGAGGAAGCAGAAGCGCTCTTTTGAGTGACCATCTTGTCCAAATACAAGATGTTAATGTGTCACTCTTTTTAAACTAATTGAGATGGCTTAAGTAAACTAGTAAAAGGCTTTTAAATAGATAATCTTTAAAGAACTTTAGAATCATATATGTGCAAAAGTTATCTCGAACATGTTTCTAAGTAGACAAGGTGTAGCTCTAATGTTCCCTGAGAACCATTTACTACTAATTGGTTGAAGATTTGATAAAGTACCAAAGAAGATTGCTTCTGAAGGACATTGCTAAATGTCAGCATTTATGGTGCTAACTTCAGTGTTATCTTTGACACCTCCAAGTCCCTTGTCCTTCCCACCCAGCAATTACTGGGCTCTGCAATTTTTAGCTCTGCATCTGCAATTTCTTTCATTTTAGAAAATTGAAGTCTGATTGGTTTACAGCATTGTGTTTAGTTTTTGGTATACAGCAATGTGATTCGTTATGCATATATATACATACATGTGTATTTTCCACAGTTTGTTGTGATCCACACAGTCAAAGGCTTTGGCATAGTCAATAGAGCAGAAGTAGATTTTTTTTTTTTTTACTCTCTCCCTTTTTTGATGATCCAGCAGATGCTGGCAATTTGATCTCTGGTTCCTCTGCCTTTTCTAAATCCAGCTTGAACATCTGGAAGTTCATGGTTCATGTACTATTGAACCCTGGCTTGGGTGTATATGTAGATCATATACATACATATATATTTAGATACATATTCCAGAAAAATATCTATTTCTGCTTTATTGAGTATGCCAAAGCCTTTGACTCTGTGGATCACAATAAACTGTGGAAAATTCTGAAAGAGATGGGAATACCAAACCACCTGACCTGCCTCTTGAGAAATCTGTATGCAGGTCAGGAAGCAACAGTTAGAACTGGACATGGAACAACAGATTGGTTCCAAATAGGAAAAGGAGTACGTCAAGGCTATATTTGTCACCCTGCTTATTTAACTTATATGCAGAGTACATCATGAGAAACGCTGGGCTGGAAGAAGCACAAGCTGGAATCAAGATTAGTGGGAGAAATATCAATAACCTCAGATATGCAGATGACACCACCCTTATGGCATAGAGTGAAGAAGAACTAAACAGCTTCTTGATGAAAGTGAAAGAGGAGAGTGAAAAAGTTGGCTTAAAGCTCAACATTCAGAAAACTAAGATCATGGCATCTGGTCCCATCACTTCATGGCAAATAGATGGAGAAACAGTGGAAACAGTGGCTGACTTTATTTTTCTGGGCTCCAAAATCACTGCAGATGGTTACTGCAGCCATGAAATTAAAAGATGCTTACTCCTTGGAAGGAAAATTATGACCAACCTAGACAGCATATTTAAAAGCAGAGACATTACTTTGCCAACAAAGGTCCATCTAGTCAAGTCTATGGTTTTTCCAGTGGTCATGTATGGATGTGAGAGTTGGACTATAAAGAAAGCTGAGAGGTAAAGAATTGATGCTTTTGAACTGTGGTGTTGGAGAAGACTCTTGAGAGTCCCTAGGACTACAAGGAGATCCAAACAGTCCATCCTAAAGGAGATCAATCCTGGGTGTTCATTGGAAGGACTGATACTGAAGCTGAAACTTCAATACTTTGGCCACCTGATGCGAAGAGCTGACTCATTTGAAAAGTCCCTGATGCTGGGAAAGATTAGGGCAGGAGGAGGAGGGGACAACTCAGGATGAGATGGTTGGATGGCATCACCCACTCAATGGACATGGATTTGGGTGGGCTCCGGGAGTTGGTAATGGACAAGAAGGCCAGGTGTGCTGCAGTTCATGGGGTCTTAAAGAGTCCGACACAGCTGAGCAACTGAACTGAGCTGAACTGATACATACATATATAGAGTTCATATATATACACACACACACATATGTTTCTAAATATATACATACATATATATTTCAATCATTTTGCATTGTATCTTATTATAAGATAGTGAATATAGTTCCCTATGTTACATAGTAAATCCTGTGTTCTTTGTCTATTTTATGTATAGTACAATAGTTTGCACCTATTTCATTTCTTCCTTTGAATTCCCACTGCTGCTGCCCTACCTGGTTCAGGGCCTCATCATCCCTTGCTTGTTCTATTAAACTCTTGTCTGACTTCTCTCCTCTCCAATCCATCCTTCACACTTCTGTAATAATGATCCTCCAACACTTATCCCTTCCCTCCTGCAATCCTGTCATTATAGCTTCCGAGTTTGAAGTTTCAGGTGTTCAACGTGTCCCCCATAACAAGATCCCTCCTGCCTTTGTGGTTTCCCACATACATTCTTTGTCTTCTCCCACCTGTCCAGATTGGTTGCTTTCTCTGCACTAAGTCACCATTACCTCCTTGCTTTGCATATGCTCCTCGCCTACAATAGGTTTGATTCCCTCCTTCTTTTACTAATTGACATCTTATTCTTTTGCCAACAAAGTCAGAATCAATCCTGTTTTCCACTACATAGTCATGGCAGAATGTGCTTCCTGAATTGTTATAATGTTTTTGTCTTTTGTTTTTTAATTTTAAAAATATGTATAGAAAACCACAGCTGGGCCTACAACCTCTCCTTAGTTTTTGTTTNNNAAAAGCAATTTGAGTAACTTGGAAAAAGAAGTTTACCTGACTTCTTTCAATATATTCTGAAACAATGCCATGTTTTTTAAATAACATGTGTCCAAATGAAGAGAGTGTTGTGCTATTATGTGTAAAAAATGCCCCAAACAAAAGGAAAGGCACAGGAACTAATCATCCAAGTTTTCAGGTGAATAAAAAATCAATGTTCCACATAGTCAATGAATGTTAAACTTGAAAACAAAGCACTGCAGGCAATTTATATTTAAAGACAGACATGAAATATTTAACTGCAAATAACTAAGTGTATGTATATATTGATGAGGGCTTCCCAGGTGGCACTAGTGGTAAAGAAACTGCCTGCCAATGCAGGAGACACAAGAGACACCGGTTTGATCCCTGGATCGGGAAGATACCCTGGAGATGGGCATGGTAACCCATGCTAGTATTCTTGCCTGGACAAGAATTCCATGGGTAGGGGAGCCTGGTGGGCTACCGTCCATGGGGTTGTAAAGAGTCGGACATGACTGAGTCCCTAACACTTTCACACCAATTAAAGTAACATTTTGATGTCTCTGTGGAAATGACGTAGTCACAAGCCCATGTCTCAGCACTGATATTTATGTATTTCAATAGCTAGGTCTTTTCTCTTACTGATATTTTAGAAGCTCAGTTAATTAAAAAACGTAAATGTAAGTTGCTTTTAATAATTTTTATAAAGCAATGGAGTAGATTTTTCCTTTGAAATCATTTTTTTCCCTTTGGAATTGGATCTGTAAACTAATGAGTAAATACAAAAGGGTGCACAGATAGAATGGATCTTATACTCTTTAATTTTTTTCCTTAAGGGAGAACAATGTGCTGAGACATGGGCTTGTGAATATGTCATTTCCACAGAGACATCAAAATGTTACTTTAATTGGTGTGGATGTGTTAGTCACTCGGCCGTGTCTGACACTTTCCAACCCCACGGATGGTAGCTCGCCAGGCTCCTCTTCTTTCTATACTCCTTGGACTGATATAGAACACACTGATGACAAACCTAGAATTAAATCACCTTTATTGCTAAAAGTTTATTTGACAGNGTATCTTCCCGACCCAGGGATCAAACCGGTGTCTCTTGTGTCTCCTGCATTGGCAGGCAGTTTCTTTACCACTAGTGCCACCTGGGAAGCCCTCATCAATATATACATACACTTAGTTATTTGCAGTTAAATATTTCATGTCTGTCTTTAAATATAAA